AAAAATATTAAAATAATATTAAAAATAGAATGTTAATAATATATGAAAAGATTACTTTTAAATATCATTTTTATCCTGACTTTGAATTTTCTTGGTTAAATTTCAAGCCTTATGGGGAGTTCTGCTTTTAAACAGTATTTCCAATTTTTTTATGGAAAAAAAAAATGGCAATATTGTTTGAAACCAGAACCCCCTGAAGACTGGAAATTTTACCAAAAATTTCAAAGTTGTGATAAAATTGATATTTAAAAGTTAAGTAATATTTTCATATAAAATATGTGTATTTATATATTCCTAAAATTCTGATATATAAAATTTATATATCATTTTCAAGGAATTTTTATCTGCTATTATTTCTTATCAACATTATTGTTAGTAAGTACGTGTGTTTGAGTTGCTACTATACTTACTAAGAAAAATAAAGTTTATAGATATATAGTGAAGAATAAGATTAAAAAAAAATGCCTTTTAGAAAATTTAAAGAATATATTGACTATTCACAGAATTTTTGTACTAAACTAGTTGACTAAAAATGCTTCTCAAGAATTTAAACACTCCTTTAAAATTGAAACTAATGAAAAAGCAGATTCAGATTTTTTTTATTTATATATTTGAACATATCTACTTGAATTTAGCTAGCAAAAATTGTCTATACAATTTTCTTTTTAGTCATTGTATGAGTTGGCATATAGTTGAATCAAATTTAGGAAGAAGCAATCCAGACTTCAACCATTTCTTATTATTATCAAGAACAATGTTATCAGCTACAAGAGAAATAAGATTGTTTCATTATAGTTTGTCTTTTTTGTTTTTTTAAATGTTATGATTTTAAATATACATGTATCAAATACAAGTTATGACATATTATCAAACAGTTCATAACTATATAGAAAGATACATATTTTAAAATACACATCCCTTACATATAATAACAAACTGTATTGTATATAGCTTGCATTCAATATCCTATAATACCACACTTTACATCACTTTTTGTAGAGTAAATTTCAGTTCAGCAAATGTCATTACATCCCTTGGCAATGTCATAATTAATCTTTACCTTTTAAAAATATATTTTTATATATAAAATATATACTAATTGATTTAAAATATGGTTTTTCACTACACAGTTCTAACCATGTTTTCAAATATATATATATATATATATATATATATATATATAGTGGACTCTCCTGTTGTATTTGATGTATGAGGGTCAAGCAACTCAGTTCTGAGGATCTGACAGCCCAGACACCAGCACATATGATTTGATTACAGTGGTGAAGGCTTTGTGCAGAACCATCCACACTTTTTGAAGGGCTGAATACAGAGACCTGGTGCACTACATGCCACAAGGTCCCTAAATGACCCTCCGCAGGTTTTGAATCCAGAGTTGTCCTTCTCCTAGAGCAGTTGCCATCCAAGGCTATAGAACCCAGTCTGTCCTGCTATTTACCCATAGGTGGAGGGAGAAGAGGATTAATACCTTTCCCAAGGGTATTAGCACATATGTGAACATAATAGATTCAAATGGAATTTGAACTCTGCTCTTCGATTACTCAATTGGAATTGCCATATATATACATACATACATACATACATACATATATATATATATATATATATATATATATATAAAATCAAAAAACAAAAGAAGCTATTCTTTAAATTTTTGGATGCCTTAATAAGTTATATTCTCTTGTTATTTGTACTAATTATAAGATATTGGTTGTCATACTTGAGGAATTTTTAAGGGCAAAGCATAAGGTAAATAACAATTTTTTGTTCATTATATTTTTAAAAAATGATTAAATTAATCTTTAGTAATAGTTATATTCTTTCATAAGTTAATTTTAAGTGTTTGTCTTCATTTTAAGGCCTTATATATGGTTCATATAAAAAAAAAACTACATTATGTTGTGGCTTTTGGAATCAATTAATGACAAAGACTGGCCATTTCTATACATTTAAAAGTAAAATAAATTTCATATTTATTTTAAGAAATGTGTTATACCATACTTATGTACTATAATGGGGATGTCCCATTCCTCATAAATACAATGGAATATACTGTCTGGGGGTGGGAGATTCACCACCAGCAGTCGATTACTTACTATATACTGCTCGCAAATCTTGTATGTTGTTAATGTTAAAAAGATTACTGTTCCATTTCCAATTTTCATTTTGGTTATTCTTATTCAGTAACCTTTTCTAAGTTAAAACAAAATGTTATCAGACTTATTCTAAAAATGCAAACCTTAATGTTCTTGATAATGACTAATGGATGGTTGAAAGAAGAACTTTTGATAATTTTGTCACCAATTTGATTTGGCAACTCATACAGACTAAAAAAAAAAAAAAAATTTATAAAAATTAAATATAGCAAAACCTGTTTTAATGAACTCTTACTCCCTTTACACAATTCAAATTATAAAACTGAATACAAATGCCGAGACTGGTGGAAATAGACTGCTCCAAAACAGAACAGCAACTTACCAAAGTGCTCAATGCAAAAAGCAGAGCAAGAATAAAATAGCAAGTAAAAAGATAAAATGTTATTTCTTTACTTACTACTATAGTTTTGCACTGATGGGTTCATCAGGTAATGAACAAAAATAAAAATGCCAAAATCACATTTTGGTGGGTTTTTTTTTTGTTTACACATTGGGAACCCATTGAAGTGAAACTGTATCAGTAAGGGAACTTGAAATTTTTAATATATAAAAATCTGGAGGGCCTATTACAGCAAATATGATGGGTGTACACAAGAAATTCATACTTAATCTTCTTAATGTACTTTTTATGCTTTTAATTGAAGAGAAAAGCAGAGTTGAATTGAAGACATTTTTTCCCCTAAAGAATAGACTAAAAATTATGTCTTCTGTTTTTATAATTTTTCTTCATTTGAATATAAACTGTCATTTTTAGCCTAATGAAGTTAATTAATTATCAGCCATCATTTGGAGCAAGGAATATCAAATGATGACTGTACTAAGGGTAGATATTGTTTTTAGAATTAAAAAATATAAAAATTTATTGAATATGATGACATCTAACCCCTCCCCCTTTCAACAGGCAATTTAACAAAAGAAGTTGGGTGATATCTCATATGTTGCTGGAATTTCATGTATGTTTCTGACTTGGCCCAACAAACTTATATTTTTTCACATTTATTACAAATTTATGAAATTCTATTTGGAAGAAAAAAAATGTCTTAGATGTCATTAAATATGGCAGCTCAGATTAAGAATTTAAAACTTTTAAACTCTGTATTGTCACAATTCAAAAAGTTTTTACTTTTATATTAAGACTTTTGTAAATCCACTTTTCCCCCACTTTCCAAATGTGTTTTTTTCTCTTCTAGAATTATAACTCTTTCTAAAATGACTATGTATTAGTATCATTACTTAGAGAATAAAGTACAACTTTGATTGGATGACCAAAGTAAAAAGTCATTATTCTGTAATTATAGCAACATGTCATAATGAAATGAACTTTGTTACAATTCAACAGGCCCCAGCAATACTCCTGTCAGGCCTCTGTCATTATCATAACGATTTCTAAAATGAAAAATAATGATCTTGATGCACTGGTCAACTGCTTCTTGGAGTGCAAACCAACAAATAATTCTTCCAGTTGTCTCAGCTTATTTGCATATTAGATAAAATAGTTATCTAAAAAAAAAAAAAAAAAAAAAAAAAAATAAACTACTCTAATTCTACCACCATTGAAGTTTCATAATTTGAACTTGTTATATTATCTGCTTTTGTTTGAAAAGGTAAATAGTTGTAGCAAGAATAAGAAAAGTTGGTATAATCAAAGGCTGCAATTCCTGTGTTAGCTTTGTTTGGTTGATTCAACATCACATATACAAAACTTTCTAAAAAATAATTGTAAAAAATAAAAAACAAAAAAATAATTTCACATAAATTTCTGAATTAATAAATAATTTTCCTTGTTAAATATCAAAATGGTGCTCCATAGGAACAAAAAAATTATTTTTTCACAAATTCTTGATTTTCTAAATCCAAAAAAAGGATTAAAAAAATGTTTTAGTCCAACTTTCAAAAACAAATTTCAGCTGAACATTCAAACTCTATAGTAATTAAAACTTTGTTTCCATTTCATAAATTAATCGTTGGTTTGATTATTTAAAATCTTTTTCGATTTAAATTTAAAAAAAAAAAATTTCCAGTTGACGAAATGTTAATCATAAACAACGTTTACAATCTGAATTTATGAAGAGAACACTGTGCCAGACATTAACTTATCCCCAAGTGAAAATCTTTTATTACAGGTCTTATTAAGGAGTCAACCACTCGTCATGTCACACAGTTGCTTAACTCTACAGTAGGCATCCATATATTTTGTTATCAAAACAACACAATGTCAGGATCGATAGATCAAAATATTAAGCTGTCTTAAAATATGGTAGACGAGCTGTAGCCACTTTCTGCTTGTCAATGGAATGGTAAAATTGTAGTTTACATGTTTATTGCTTTAAGAAAGCAACAATACTATTGACAAGGCAGAAAACAAACCATGAAAAAAGCCAAGGGCAAGGTAGAATTTGAAAATTTAAAATTTTACACTATTTTTTTCTTTTTGCCCAAAGATTATCTTATCAAGTTATCAGCTTTAAATCCATTGAATATAAATTTCAAGCCCCAAAAACCAAACAACTTAGAACTCCGTGTATTCTTCATCCATTAAAGGAGACAGCAGGCTTTGTTTGACAATTACGTCTTAAGGGCTTGAATTTATATGACATGGCTTTGTTTACGACTGGAGTAAGTCCCACTCTCCAGAGTAGTAGCTACAATTAAGATCCTTTCCCAGCCCCTCATAACAAATAAATTGAACAAATCCCACCAAATAGAACAAAACCAAATTGATTTTTGTTGTATGTAGTGGTTGATGTAGTTTGTTTTTTGTGTCCAACAATGGATGTATCATGAGTATTAAAAAAAAAGAAATTAAAAAAATTTAAAGAGTTCATCTCAGATTGGGGGCGGCCCATTAATGTGTTGCAGATCAGGATGAAGATGAATAGAGAAGTCAGCAAGCTTTTCAATAGATTCTGGATCAACTAAGTATACAAGGCCAGCAAGACACACAAGAGCCAGTCCTTGCCAAGTGTTTTGGAAGTTATTGGGAGTAGCTGCCATGACACTGGCCTGATCCAGTGGCTCATCACACCTGAAAAATAATTATTAAACAAAACCTTAGAGAAGATAAGAATAAAATAGATTCAGTATTAAGAGACAATACAAAAATTTATATGAAAATTTAATGCTTTTACTGATACTTTTACCTTATACGTGATTTGCATACTCTTTTTGTTATGTAAAGGTAAAAGGAAAACTTAGCTGATGTGTTTTGTCCTCTGATGGACTTGTAAGGATTTTATTTTGCAACAAATATTTAGAAACAAGATGTTGTTAGGTCTTCAAAATTTTTACATTTAAGAAACGATCATAAATATTCATCAGGTTAACTGAAAGGTTTAACTTGTTTATTAAATTATGTCACTTAGCATCTTCCATAATTTACCTACACTTTAGTGATAGATCTTGACTTGACCAGGGAAGAAATTGCTGACCAAGTAAGACTGAATAGTGCCTTTATATAAACAGTCTATTAATTTTTTTTTCTCTACTATTTAAAGTGATAAAATCTGTTGGGTGAATAAAGTTTCCATTACTTTAGAAATTGCTTTGTTTTGGATATGAAACTGTTGTAGTAAAGAAAAGACTGTCAACTGATAGTAGCAATTGCAATAGATTTCTTCCGTTTCTCGGCCGCAACGCTTGTAGCCAAATCGCAGTTCACACGATAGTCCGACGTAACAGTCCAACACACAATGTAGAAATGACAAAATGGGGTCACACATCCAACCTTCACTTCTCACCAACAACAACGCGTGTTCGTTCCACCAAGCTCAAAAAAATCATCTCCTGTTATAAGCGAAAAACAACGACTTCTGTTCACCGAGAGAATTTTCTGATTGGTCACGCCATTCAGGGGAGGGAAGAACATTAGCATAGCTTCTAGTCATTGGTGTAGATTTTTGCTAACTACTTTTTGGTAATTTTTCTTTGGCAGATCACACACAAAACACAAACTTTTTGGGGGGGTAACTGATTATCTCTTTCACTACAGAAACTGAATGGATATGAACCTTGAAGACTCTGGGAACTATTTGCACTTATAAGGCACACTATTCATCCTTTCTTTATTGGCAACACCCTCTGTGGCCAACTTGGTCTAAAGTGCATTAACAACAGTTTCTATCTCTCTCTCTCTCTATATATATATATATATATATATATATATATATATATATATATATACACACACACCATTTACTACTCTTGGTCAGACAATGTAACAAAAATAATCTCGACTGTAACGAGAAAGACATTTTAAATTTTTTAGTAGATGACGCATCATCAATTAATATTTATTTTTCATTCAGTTGCTTTTTTATTGCAATTATTCAGATCCTTGTTCTAGAGTTGTTCATAAACATTGGAAAGAATTGTGAAATTTTTCTACTGCAATAATTGGCTTTTCATAACTCAAGAAATGGTGAATAATACTCAATACTTACTTGAGATTAGCAACATCTGTGGCTTTGTCAGCAGTACGTACAGTGCCAGGTGAGAGTGAAAGGACTTTTGCCAGTGAGTTGCCTTTGTTAGTCTGTAAGCTGATTTCCTTTACAAGTAATTTATTGGATCCAGTAGAGTTCAGACGAGCAGCTTTGGTCAAGCATTTCTGACACTGCTGCCTGATGGCAAACAACAGGCGTCGATTCTCAGAATAATCAGCAGAGATTCCAGCACTTGCTGCACGGTCAAGGTAACATGTTAACTGAAGACGACATGAGTGCAACTGATCAAGCTTTCCTTGACACAGGCTCAGGTTCTTCTGAACAACCTAAAATTGAAGGGGGAGAAAAGAAAAAAAAAAGGGTCAATGTGTTTCAATCAAAGGATCAGCAAATGTAAGGTACATGATGAGAAGGGAAATAATTGTTAAGACCTTTCAAACATTATTTTTATGCATAAAGAGGCCTATTAATGCAAAAAGATATGGCTTATAATCTTCAAACAAATTATTCATTTTGGTTTCCATTATTTTCAATTACAGCCTCGATATGACCTTTACTAATTCTACATACTGTATTTTTTATGATGGATTCAGGGTAGGTGCTATTCCAATTCCAGATCATAGTTTTTGTTTAGGAAAGGTTCATTTTGCTATAAGAGTCAGAAATTTAAAGTATTATATATAGGCATTTTTTTTTTTTTTGAAGAGGTTAAAATTCCTGCATTTCTTTTGGCGACCAGTTGCACTATACATTAGTTTTTTTTTCTGGAGAGGTTAAAATTTATGCAAAAATATTCAGAGGTTGCACTACAAATGAAGTCAGCTTATACACGATTATATAATAATAATGACAAGGAACTAAAAGCAAAAGAAAAAAAAAAAACATTTACTAAGTTTAATTAAAATCAAACACAATCTTGTACATATCACTAACCAAATACAATTATTCTTATCAATACTGACAAAATAATTTTAAAAAATCCTATAAAGTGTTTAGCTTTCTAAATGAATCTCAAGGGAAAAAAAATGACTTGGCTTACTTTGAGGTCATTCTGAATATTAGGCTTATTCTTTGGGAAATCAACTTCAAGTTGGTGCCTAATGGTATCAAGCTGTTGCCGTTGCTGTTTGAGCATATAGTCGAGTTCCTTCTTTGTTTCCATATATTCATACCAAGCCAGTAAATGTTTCTGAAGCTGAGGCAATTTTAGTGAGCATCTGTAGAAAGAGAAAGAATCATTATGAATTCCAATGAAATACATCTTTCACAAGAAAATTCTAACATGTTGAATGATTATTCAAATAATAGTATTGCTCATCATATGATGAGGTTTTAATGTTTGGTATTATACTATTATACCATTGTGGGTAATATCAGGTATTTCCCTTTTTGTCATCCATACTTCAGCAATCCAAGAGGATTTTTTTTCATCATATATAGATAATAAAAGCTGTGTTAATATCAACTTGACTTTTGAATGGAGTTGATATGTAACAGTCAACTGCCACATAAAAAATGTATTTTCACTTTATTTTAATATTTTTTTTAAAATTCGGTTAAGTAAGCATTAAAAGGACTAACTTTTTATTGAATTCTATATTTGTATAACGGCTACTTTATTTTTGGAAGAGTTTTAATTAGTTTAATTTTTTTTCTGTCTACAGATAATCATGATGTAAGGTTAATTTTGAAGGATAGTTTAACATTAAAACACAATTTAAAACTGGATTAATTTATGAAATTTTATTTTAAAACTTTGTAATATTGCAATTAAAACATGATAAAATTTCAAAGAAGGTATTTAAGTTATTTTAATACATTTTAAAATTTTATATAAAAAAAAAACAAAAACATTTGTAAACATTTTTTAAACATTGCTAGAATTTGTAACATTTTTGGTTCCTGTAGAGCTGAAATAAAAACATTTTTTTATGTGCATGTGTTTATTTGTTAAGCATGAAATGCGTATCTTGTCTCCACTCTTAGATTGGAACAAAAAACATTACATAATGTTTTGTGCGTAACAAAGCAATGGACAATAGTTATATATATATATATATAGTGCTAATTTGGAAGACTGTTTTTTAAAGCCAAAATTGGTGTTTTCTCATTGGTTTGCTTATAAGGAGGCATTTAAGGCAAGAAGGCTTTGTGGTAGAGTGCTCAATATCAAAGGTAGACATAGAGCATTGATAGAATTAATATGAAAAAGTTATTTTGACTTAACTCATGTTTATTTGAAAGTTTTCTAGTTACACAGATGCAACCACTTTTCAGAACAAACTGTTATTAGTTCCCAATTTCTTTGTAAAGAAATTGAGAAATATTAACAGTAAACACGAGTTAAATGCAAAAAAAAACATTTTCATTTTATATATATCTCACTGTGTCCCGTTGGTATGACGTTTGCCTGATATCGTAACTCTCCAGGTTTCAATTCACAGTAGTGGATGCGCACTGCTGATGAGTCCTAAATATAGGATGAAACGGCCGTCTAGTGCTTTCTGCATTCTGTTGAGGTTTCTTCTAGACTTGATGAATTTCTTAATTATGATTATCTCAAATCCTAATAATTTCTATCTCTTTTATATATATATATATATATATATATATATAAATCCCCAAATTACCTCATATAACAATATGTTGGATTTAATCCATTTTCTAAAAATAAAATTATATATAGTGGTGTCACTAGGTAGCATAATTGTTCTGTCTTAGCCATTTAGACTGAGCACTTTTTTTAGTTTGTTTACTTTTTCTTTGTTTTTTTTGGCTTTTCTTTTGGCACCTTAATTTATTGATTTTTCATTTTTTGGCTTTATGTTGGTTTTGCTAATACTTTAGTTTGTCATATATGCAAATAATACATTTTGTCCATTGTGCTGGAAATCATGGCTATAGGAGGCTTCAACCAAAGAATCTCAAAATACACTTAAGAGGCTAGGATGGGTTACACTGACCAGGATTCAATTAAATTTCAATTTTTTTTTTTTTTTTTTTTTTTAAATTAAAAAAAATCAGGTCTTATAGGCTACCAAATGTTGTACTTAGCAAGAAGATAGTTAACATTTAATATATGCAGAGATGTATTTACTTCAAAATATAAAAAAAATGTTTGCAGTGAAAATATTTAAAAAAAAAAAAAAATCTCAATTCTTGGTGTTTAACCTGTGGAATTGCCCAGTATACATAGATTCCAGAGACAAATTCATTTTTCACCCTCTGAGAAAATTATTAGAAGCTTTTATAGGAAAGGGTGTGCTCATTTTTAATTAGCAGGTTGGACAGGGTAATTCTATAATATTTGTTAGTCAAAGATGAAGAGTTCAATCTTTGAGAGAATTAGCATTAACAATCTTTGTAATAGTTATCTGAAAGGTAAGAGCGTAGACAAGAAAGTGATTTGCAGAATTATAATAATAATAAATCGGCTTACTTTTCATGAAGTGTGTTCAGTTCTGTAATTGCTTTACCAATTTTCATTAAAAAGCCATCCACAGTTATTACAGGATGCTGCTCCTTGAAAGAATTGATCAAATCTTTCAGTTCATTCAGCTTGGACATCTTTTCTTCAAATAATGCCTGTTTCTCCTGAAATTACAAGCAAAATGGTGATTTGTTAATAAAAGAAAAGGAAGTTTATAATCCAAAGTTGCAAGTGATAGAAACATAAGAAAAATCTTAATCTCCCAAAGGATTTCAAATAATTTAATTTGGTCAAGTTATATCCTATGGAGTTATATATTAATATGGTTGATGCAGTGAATGTACTTGTGCATCTTTACAAAACTTAAATTGTCTGCTGTTGATCTACATATACATTTTCAAGACAACATGAAATGTTGGTGCTAGCACAGACATATAGTAGCATACCCTGTTTTGCTATGTATTTTTATTATATTGTGTGCTTGAGGGTGTTATTTAACTTAGTCTCTATTGCAGAGTATCTGACTAAAATCAAAATGGCAGTGCTCATAAGAAATCACTTTCATTCAGTGAAATGGAAAAGTTGTCAATTTCCAATCTTTTCATTTGTATCCCCTTACTTCTTAAAATAATGACCAGCATTCACATTTATGATTGTTATTGCAATATTTTGTTAAAGTTGTTAAGCTCAAATATTGAAAGATGCAATTGGGGAATTTTTACAGATATTTTATTAACATAGAACTTGCCATGAGTTTACTCAATCATTAACTTAAGAAATAAGATCCATCAGAAAATTCAAATAAGAAGACTGTAAAAGATTTATTTCTCTAGTAAAACAATTTTCAGTGAATTTTTATATATGCTTTTAGTATTTGCTGTGTTATTATATATGTAATCATTTGAGTAAATGAAAATCTGATCGTATTTTTCTAATATATCCTACTCATGAGGAGCAGAGGTTTTATAGCTTTCTGCTAATTTTGTAATGGGGGGAACCAAATATAAAAAGAAAAAAAAAATTAAAACGAATACAAAACAAAACTACTTTAAAAGATGAAGTAATCTTTAATGAATGAATATCTGAAAAATACAATCAATTAAAGGAATGTTCTAATATATATTTCAAACACTGATTGAACCAGTCCTACTGTATGGATCAGAAACTTGGAGATTTATCTGCTTGTTTTGAAAGACGACTGGATGGAACTTATACAAATTTACTTAGAAAAATCCAGAACATCAGTTGGAGATCCCATGCAACGCTTAACACAATTTACAGAGAATTGAGACAATCTCTCTTAAGCTCAAGCAAAATTAATTACCATTGCCACCAAGTGGACAGAGAAATCGTCTCATCCTTACTCCTATGGCATCTTTCTGGAAGTGTCTTCTCACACAAATTGGCTTTCTCAGACACCATAACTTGGAACTCAGGGCTGGATATTGGGGATTCAATCCAGAACATCACCTGGAGATCACATAAAATGCTTAACACAATTTATGGAGAATTGAGGCCAATCTCTCTTAAGCTCAAACAAAAATGATTACAGTTTACCGGCCACTGTCAATTGAGCGGACAGAGAAATCTCATCCGTACTCCTATGGCCTCCTTCTGGAAGTGTCTTCTTACAAAAATTAACTTTCCCAGACACCATAGTTTGGAATTCAGAGATGGAAATTGGGGATCTGAGGACAGCAATCAAACAGTATGGAAAAAAAATTGTCAATGGAGTTCTGACCAACCACAGGGAGAATGAAGGATGATGAAGATACTGTGTCTGATTTTGAAAATACAAAACGGCAGTTACTGATTCACAAATGGTTAAAAATGGAGTTGAGAAATATCACTGTACCTGAATAGCTTTTATAATGGCTTGAGCATCAAGTAATCCTTTGAATTGGTCTTTTTTTATTAAAGCTGAGAATTCCTGAAGCCAGGTGTAGATGGCTGTCAGAGAATCGTTGATTGAGCACAGCTCACGGCACTGACCTTGACGCTCCACTGCCAAAGCACGCAGCTTCTCCCACTGATACAGCAATCCTAAAAAGAAAACAAAAATTATTTTCAGTTTTTTAAATTTGGTAATTAATTAGGAAATTCTTTAACAGAATCTTGTGTCTATTGTAATGAAATGTTAATGTAGCTTCAACAAATGATAGACATTTTTATTCCTGCAAAATAAAATCATAAGCAAATTAGGAATAAATAAAAAAAAAATTTCCATTGCGGTTCTCTCATAGGAAACATTGTATCAATTGCTTTGATGAGCTACTTTCACTGGTTCCCAAACTGCATGAATTTAAGTGTGCTACTAAATTGGAAACTTTGTCCCACTCTTTCATTGTTTTCAAAGGTTAAATGTAGCTGATTCTTTTACCCCAACAGCTTCTTATCTTGCACTTCCTATCAGCGAACTCCCTTCCTCTTACTTGCTTCCCTGCTAGCTATAGTCTTCAAATATTCAAATGTAATGCCAATTGACATCATCTGATATCTTAATCCTTGTCCTCCTCTTTATCTTTCCCCCAAACACACCTGCATCCTGAGTAAGACAATAAACTATGTCCAACAGCAAGGCACCTAATCAGGAGGTTTTGAGGAGCGTGGAACCACCTCTTAATTGCTGGTGTTCCCAGGTCCCCTCTGACCTGGAGTGGTAGACCTGTTAGCTTCTCCACTATGGTTAAATAGTTGAGCCCCAAACTGAGGTCAAAACACTATGAAAATGTAAAAATAGGTTTTAATACCAGAAATACTTTGTAAAAAATTATTACCAGCAATAAACTTTCGAAGAAAAATTATTACCATCACTTTTGAAAACAATACACTTTTGAAAAAAAAAAAAAAAAAAAATTACCAGCAATAAAAATCTTGTTGACATTAAATAAGCCATCGAGGTTGATATGCCATAAAACAAACCAAACACACCTATTTACTCTTGCTCTCACTCTCTGTAACCCCTTGTGTGCTAGTGGCACACACCTTGCTTGGGGTGATATACTTAACAAAAAAACAAAAAAAAACATTTTGTATGCTAGAAATAATCTGGGAGTATCTGCTCATTCCTAAAGTAAAAGAAACCTGCTGACTGGTTGCAGTTCTCAGTGGAAATTGAGACGTTAAAATGTTGAGTTTCTTGAAAACTGAACCCAGCACATTTCCCATAAGACAAAAATAGGAAGTGAACAGAATTGTTAAAATATAGAATATCCAGGTTTTTAAGAATAGTTTAAAAAATACAATGGTTTTTATCTAGTTTCAAATTTACCTTAACATCTGAAAGGTAAAGAGTAACAAAAGTAGGCAGAATCTTTTAAAAGGGAGGAAGAAAAAAGAAGTTATTGTCAGATATTAATTTTAATGTTTATAAAACAATATTTCTTTATTATTAGGAACAGTTGAGAGTTGTAGAGATCTAACATGGAGGAATATTATCTTTTCTTACTAATGCTTATCTTGTAGAGTGAGTTTGCCATTTTTGGAACATTTCTCAAGTGATATGTGCTATATCCTGTCTGACCACAGTCTCAGAACTGGTTGGACTCTGTTCTAATTGAAAGTATTTGTCAAGTTATACTTGTTTGGAATTAATCAAAACTCCCTCATGTTTAATCATTTATTTTTAGATGGTCAGTTCTTGGTAGCTGTTCTTTCTGTCTGTATTTGCTTGGAAAGTCATTGTAATCTTGTAAAAATGAATGTTATCATCAGTGACATGGTTAACTTGACATTCTTTCTAAAAAATGATTGAAATGAAGTGGATTTTAGAGCCTAACAACACAAAATCCAGTCAAATTAAAATAATATTTTGTCATATTTTGGTAGTTTCTTTTGTATCTGTTTTATATATATATATATATATATATATATATATATATATATATATATATATATATACATATATATATATTGTAAATTGCTGGTACCCCCTGAAGAGTGGACAGACAGGTACACTTACAAAATTCTGTAATTAGGATGCTGAAGATAACATCAGCTAAGTGACAAACTTATACTCATATTAATTCATATATATATATATATATATATATATATATATATATATATATATAAAGTAATTCATCGAGTCTAAAAGAAACCTCAACAGAATATAGAAAGCACTGGATGGCCGTTTCATCCTATATTTGTGTGCATCCACTACCAAGAATTGAAACCCGGACAGTTACATTATCAGGCAAACATCATACCAACTGTTCCAATGGGCCTTGGCGATGAAGAGGTAGCGAATCAGACTCAATATAATGCCCTCGATCACATATTCCGTGGTCGAACTCATCCGAGTTTCCCTTACCCATAGGACTGTGCCCCCACAAACCATGACTACTTTCCCCAAGCCGCTCAGTCCAGAGCATTAGAAGCCGGTTCAAGCAAGGATATAGAAGTGATAGAAATTAGGAGGATTTGAGATAATTATATTTAAGTAATTCATCGAGTCTAGAATATTAGTATAACCTCGAAGTAACAGTTCCAGAACCAATGGACTCCAGATTTAACTTTCAAACTTTATTTAAAGGTATATAGTAATTTAAAAATAAAATACACATACATATATACTGTATTTACATTTATTTACAATAATCTTGTACTCTACTGAGTGTTTTTTTAAGACATGAAAAAAAAAGTGCTTCAAATTAATAGATAAACTGCTTTAACAGACAACTCGCCCTGACCATTAGTTTGTTAAATTGAGGTTCCACTATATTCTATGTTGGACAGTTAGTTTACGACCCTAAAACTATGAGTGATATAATGTTCCTACCTTCATCTGAAAGTGTAAATTGAGCAGAATCCTGTGAATATTTGAACTACATGTCTTACAATATAGTATCAGTCGGTCATTGATATGAAATTAGTATAAAGAATGAAGGACAAACTCAATGATCCAGTCTACTGAAGGTAGATCTTCTCAAAGTATCTTAGCTTATGGTCATATCAAGTTGAAACATCGGTTCTAGTACAATGATCAAAGTTAAGCAACATCAAGCCTGTTCAGTACCTAGATGGGTGAACGCTTGGAAATACCAGGTGCTGTAAACTTGGATGTGTGGGTAATGGCTCAGAATTGGAAAATGGAAAGCTGAGTTCCAATTCCAGTCAGGTTCATTATATTCACTCATGTGTAAATATTTTTGGGAAAGGTATGTATCCACCTCTTCTCCCCTAAGCCATGGGTGAATACGTAGGATTTTTTCCCCCCGATTCGATATCCTTCTTGTTAGCACCAGACAAAATGGGAACCTTTTTTCCTCTCTAGGGTGAAACATGAGGTAGCCTAATTGAATAAAAAAACATGCTGAATCTTTCATGCATTTCTCCATAATTAGGTTCTATATAAAAACAAGAACTACATAAAATCATTCTTTTTTTATAAAGTTGAACTAAACAAAAGTGAAATGAATTAAAAGTACTTGCTGGTACAGGTGGGAATGAGCAATATGAGAAGATGACAAAAGAACCTATTACCAAGCAACTGTATTTTCATACCTTGCATTCGATTTAAATCTTCTTTGCCCACAGGCGGGGCACTGTTCAGGTGCTGGTAGATTACTTCCAAGCACTTGATATTTGTCTGACAGGTGGCCAGCAGTTCAGTCTGAAAGAAAAAAAAAAAAACAAACAAACAAACAGGTGACATACAAATGACGTACCAAATTGATTCAATCTTTCAACAAATTGTATAGATATATAACTTTTAGCATCCTTTGCATGTGTAAACATAATAAAAAAAAAAAAGGAGTTGTTGGTGGTGTAGCGATTATTAGCATAGATAATGAAGTCATCAGGCTGACTTCCAATTCTGTTGAACACCAGTTCCCGTATAATCACAGAGTTAAGCAATGTCGAGCCTTGTCAGTACTTTGATGGGTTTGGGAATACCAGGTGTTGTAAGCTTGATGTGCAGAATTCTTAATTTGAGCACGGAGGTCCAATTCCGGTAAGGTTTATGATATTCACTTATGTGCAAATACCCTTGCAAAAGGTATAATCCACTTCTCCCCCAGCTATGGGTTAATTAGTAAGACTTGTATCACTAAACTATTATCTCAAAAAAAAAAAAAAAAAAAAAAAAAAAAAAAAAATCTAAAAATATTTTCTGGCTTTAAATAACCTGAAAAAGCCAGACTGTACAAAATGAATCCATTTTTAACCAGCAAGATCATTAAACTTTGCCCTCCACCACATTAAACATTTATGAGACAATACTTGATATGTTCAGTTATTTTATTTACAGCTATTGATTTATTGTATCAACAGATGCAAGAGTTGTAAATGTATCAAAGGATATTAATTGCCATCTGCATGATCCTATAGAGGCAAGATTAACAAGCCTCTGGGTTATTGCTCAAGAAAGCTACTGTATTAATACAAATTTTGAATAATGTTGATACACTTGTTATTTTCAAACCAGGGTACATATCATTCATTTACTGTAATGCACATATATTGCTTAACTTTAATCTTGAATAATTTTAAGGCTGATGCTATCTGATTTTCTATTAATGTATATTCAAAAGTCACATTTCTGGAACAAACCTATTCAATTTTTAACATTCGTATTACAACCTAAGGGGGGGGTGAAGCTAGTAATCAATAAATAATAGGAAGTAATATTTTTTTTTTCATTAGGAGTTGGCACAGATTAGATAGGAAATGGCTTATTTTCTTTTATGCTTTATGTATCATATTCCAAAAAGCAACTGTTTTTATTGATTTAACATTTTTAGTTACACTTTTTTTTTTTTTGGTCTTCACTAAATGAGCAATGAGACTCCATTATTTACATTACTTATATTTGGACTATTGTCCTCATCTTTGTTAATGTTATCACAACATTTTGTCTGTTGTGCTCTCCAGCCTTCCTCAGGTGTATATTGTAGATTAAATAAAGGGTTCAGTTCATAGTTTCAGAATTACTCAGATCAATAAATACCTGAGGAAGGCCAGAGGGCACAATGGCCGAAACGTGATAACAACAACAAAATGAGGACAATATTTACACTATTTATATTTTGGACTAATGATAACTTCTTATCCCAGAAATTCAGACAGACAAAATAAGACTCCATTTAATAAAACATAATTTCCTGAGAATTTTAAATTTCTCAAAAAATCAAATATGTAACACAATAGACATAGATAACATGATATATAAATCTACCTGGCTCATGTCAGAGGGTATCCCCCTCCCGATCCAGATGAGGCTATGCCGGAAGGGCAGAGTCTCGTCTCGGGGAAACTGACTCTGTTTTTATGTGGTCTATAGGGAATTTTCGACCAAGCCTACGGGGTTGAATACCCCACTTTAAAACTTTACCTTGTGCCACATCTTGCCATGTGGGACAGTGGGTAAATAATTAAATAAATCTACCTATAAGACTTATAGTGGGATGAAATGTGTAGTGTAGGAAAAGTTTGTTTTTTTTCTTCCTCCAGTTGGTCATTCAGTTAACATCTATGTAGGTAATTGTTTGAGGATTTTTACAAAAAGATAAAAATTTTTTAAAATTGAAAAAATTAATAAGAAAAATTGTTCATGAATTTTAAATATGGGCATGATTCTATGTTCACTTTCCTAATATTCACTCAAATATAAAGAATTAAACATTTACGATTAAAACAAGTCAACATTAAATCAAAAGCTCTGTCCTTTTAAAGCAAACGTGTGTATCAATTTAATAAATGCCACCCTAATCAGAAAAGAACATAATAAATTATGTAGAAAATATTTAGAAGGAATCCTGAATATTTTACTGTTAATAAACACACACCCGATACATTTTATTATATCACCAACTTTCATAAAATCTTGAATTTGTCTACCTATAATCACAACTGGTGTAATGTAAATTTTTTCACTTTCACACAAAACATCCCCAAATCAACATACGAACACTACCAGACATAAATAAAAATGCACACAAATCCCACATAGACCAAGTAGAATTGTGATACATAAACACACAGGAATTATACACGTGAATGCTGCTTGACAGGACAAACACGTGAGGTCTGCTTTATATATATATATATATATATATATATATATATATATATATAAAAAAGGAAAAAGACAATAGGAAAACTGTAGTTTTAGTCAACATGTTTTGTCCAATATGAACTTTTTCAAGGCAAAAAACAAAATGAATTTATTGAAACAAAGTATGAATATATTGAAACAAAATGCCGTCAGCAACTAGAAGAATTTAGAAACGCTATTGTACATTCATATGGTTAACTGAAAAATTATGTCAATTACTTTGCTTGAAGAGAATATTTTCACAGGTAGAAACATTTGTATTGTTGTGTTGACAGATTCAACTGTTTCCATTTGATTTCTTGATATATTTGTTGTGTACGTTGGCTTGGGAGAATAGTGATTCTGTTACGAAAGGTGAGATTGGGGGGGGGGTTCAGAATCACTACTCACCCAAGCCAACGTACACAACAAATATATCAAGAAATCAAATGGAAATTGTTGCTGAGTATGGACTGACTGTTATGCAATTTGAATTATATACATCTGGTTATCACAATGTTGGTGTAGTTTATATCTTATTCTGAGATTAAAGATTTTTATTTTATTTTATTTTTAAATTATATTTGGCAATTATAATAAGCAGGAATTATATGTAAAGAAATGAAAATTAAAAAATTATTCATATTAAAGGGAGATTACTTATCCTTATTTAAAAACAAAAACACATTTCATATATATATATATATATATGTGTGTGTGTGTGTGTGTGTGTTTTGAACAATAAAAAGTATTAAAATTTTCAGACACACTGGATTGTATATTAATATTTTTTTTGTTTTATTATCTCAATTAGGTTCCTCAACTAGTTTTGGTCAACATGGCTATCATCAGGAGAAAAAAAAATCCCAGATTGTTAATAGCAGTGAACTACAGGAGCGAGAATCACCGTTTCTGAAGAAAATGAATTTTATCTCTAGTTTTCGTTTGTTGTTTTTTTTATTTTTTTTTTTATCGTTAATTTTGGTCAGTCCTTGTGCTGATCAAACAGCCTCTTTCAAGTTGTTTTTAAGAAAGAGAATGAGAGATTCCTGACTTTAAGAATTCCTTCCTTCGTCATTTTGACAGTTTTATTGGTTGCTGGGAATGGGATATATGTGTTAAGTTTGTTATCTTTTAGTTCTTAGGAAGTGTGTGTATGTGTATATATTAGTATGAGTGCGTTTATAAATGTGAGGCTGCAACACCTCTGCAAGCATGTCTGTATTGTGTGGGTAGGGCTTGACTTATAGGGTTATATATTAATTCTATCCATGTTAAATTTGTGGTTATATTCAAAATAAATGGTAATTTACATTAAAAAAATTAATCTGGATCAACAGTGAGGGAGACACACACACACAGGTAAAAGGTACAGTCCATCTGCATTAATCCTGCAGGCATTCTATAAGCAACATCTGCAAATAACACCTGGGCTTTGTTTATCAGTGCTGAGCCACACCCTAGAAAATGGGTTACAATAAAGCATCTAACATTGTCTACTATGCATGAAATAGGCTTAAAAACTGCTACTTTTATCTGAGACTCTGCAGTGCATATGTCAAAGAATATTTACAACAGTCTGAAAACCAAATGCATGGAAAAGAATCCCACCTGTTCCTGATGCTTAAAAGAACAATATACAGGTAATAAGCTTTGATTCATTATATTATAATTAACTGCTTATTTTTTTTTTCAATAAGATTAAAAAAAAAAGCTATGTATATGATAACTATTTGTAAAGTTGTTAAAAGTCCCTTTTTCTAAATGATTTGTTTAAAGATAAGTTTGATGGAACCAGAAACTAAAGAATGAAAGATTTTCATCTCCTTTCACTATCAAAGTTTTCCTAAGGATTTGTTTATAAAATCTAAATTTGAATTCTATCAAATATTGTTTAACATGATATTTGTAAGAATTCAGAAGAGAGAAAACTAAAGTTTGAAAATAAAACTCAAAATTGCCATGTCCCATGAGGATGTTGGTGATCATGGCTTTCCACTATTACTTGTTCTTTGTAGCTCTTAGTAAATCTTGTCTTTTTGTTCTCTCTCCTAAACCCCTTTTCTGCTAACCATTTACGGAAGTTCATGAGGCAGGGGTTATGCTCTGTTTTTCTCTAGCCTTCAATATGTCTTGTGAGTGTCAAATTTTCCAAGCCTTATTTCCTCATTATGTGCCTTAAAAATTTCAACTGCCTCTTTCTGGTGTTAAGTATAGTGTCCTTTTACTCTAAGATTATGTTATTGCTCACAGGCTCTGTCCATGACATTCTCAGCATCCTTCTGTAGAACCACATTTGTTTTTAATTTAAGTAATCTTTTTCTATAATAATATTTCTTGAATATTCTGGCTGGTAAATGAAAATAAACGAACATACTGTTTAATAAATAAACAGTGTCTACTCAAACATGGGTACCCACTAAAAATAATGTTTAAAAATCTGTTGGATTAATAAATAAAAAAAAATCCATTAGTCCTTTAGAAATTGCCTTATAACAATGTACATAGTTTATGAAATGAAAACTAATTGACTGATGGAGAGGTACAGATTTGAAAGATGCATAAAAACTAAAAAGGTATAGTAAAATAGGATTTACTTACATATCGGCCAGTGTTCAAGTACAATCCAGTATCTTTTTTCTTCTTTTGTAAGGCATGATCAGTAACTTTAAGCTGATTGGATGATTCATCAAGTACATGATAGAAATCTTCTAAATCAGAATCACTATCATCACACAAGGCTGAACGAGATCCCTGCAAAGGCAATGTCATAAGATTAAACAAGAATTGAATAAATGGGGTTGGGGGAATAGTTGTGACTTCATCATAACTTTGAGCTGAGATCAAAAAGAAAAAAAAATATTCATTTGGGCTTTAAAAAAAAAAATAAACAAAAAAAAAAATTGTCATAATTATTTGTTAGCAACAATTAATAAAACGCTGTAAGATGACAACCAATAGAATAAAAATGCACTCAAACTCATATTTCCAGACGGTGAGCATAAAAATGTCAGTTGGAGAGAGTGGTGGTGGGGGAATAATTAGATTAGAGAAATATTATGCTCCTTTCTGGCAAGAAACCTTCATAACTCCCTGAACAAAAATAAAATTACAGTGGTTAAAATTTAATGTACATATATTTTTCTATCTCTAAAAATAAAATTTAAAAACAAAAAAAAAAAAAAAAAAAAAAAAAAGAAACAGTTCCTAAAACAACAAATATAAAAATAAGTGTTAGGGGGCACAAAATTTAAAAAAAAAAAAAAAAAAAAAAAAAAAAATTGAAACAAAAATATTTTAAAAACAAATAAGCAGGCTTTCTTTTCATTCCAACAAAAAGGAAAAAACAATTCAGATCTTTAGAATAAAAATTAGGACAAGCAATAAAAAAAATCAACTTTTTAAAGAGAAAAAGCAGAAGCAGTTTTCTTTCTTTCTTTCTCTGAGATGGCGGAGAGCGTGAGGAGTGTAAAACAGAATTGAAAGAATGAGGGGCGGGGGGCTTATGGAAATATGCATCGTCCCTAACCCTATTTCTATAAGGTTAACCCAGCTGCAGAAAGTCGACACAGGACTTTACCCCAGGAGAGTTTTATTAATAAATCAATAAAAAATTTGATTTTAACACACATTTAAATAGAAAGGAAGCTGAAGAAATAGTTGCTTTCTGTAAAGATTCCTGTTCCATCTTCACCCCCTGTTCAGCCCTCCCCTCCTGATGCATGACCTTTTAATGTTTTTAATTTTGATTGAATTAGGAAGTTGTTGCCTGTTGCTTGTGAGTGTTCATTTTCAAAATGATTAAATTTCTTTTACCTTTTGGGTGAAACCAGAACAAATTCTCTGCTACTCTTTCTTGTACTGACATAGAAGAGTAATGTCTCTTTTGTAACTCCATACAAAGAGATTTCTTAAGTGACTCTGCATTTGTCTTCACTTTTGTTTTCATACCTTTTTTTTTACTTAATCTATTGAAATACTTTAAGTAGCCACAAGGAAAATGTTTTTTAAGTTCTGATTATTAAATGTTTTGTTTTTTGTTTTTAAATGACTATAACTAGGTACCTCCCAAAGATTCGCTAAAAAATGAATATACATAATGAAAAAATGCTCCAAACTTAACAAAAATAAATTTTAATCATCAAAATCAAGGAATGACCAAAGGATTTTTTGATTATTTAATTATATTTTTTAATCCTCTAAAGAACTTTCAAAATTTTGGTTAAAAACTTGTTTTTTTTTTTTATTTATTTTATACATCAAAGGTGGGGGGGGGGCATAAATTAGTATAGGAAATTTGAGCGTCTTTTAGTGTTGAAAAAACACATTGATTTGGAAAGTCTTACAAAAATCAGATAATTGTTGGATGTTAATGAAAATTTCAGAACTTATCCACAAATTAATGAAATGATTTTAGAAAAGCTTGGTAACAAATATTTTTTTTTTTTTTTTTTTACATCTGCTACTTCCATTTATTTAATTTTATGAAATTTCAAAAAATTAATTTTTGTAGTGCTAATGTTTATATTAGTTGTAAGGACAAATCCTTGGAGAATTTAAATCCTCAAATAATTTTTTGCCAAACAGGATGCCCAGTTACAAACAAAAACAACAACGCTGAATTGTAAAATAAAAAAAATGCAATAAAATCAAGACATCATTTAATTAGAAAACTTTTAACTGCTTTTATGAATAAGATATATTATGAATCTTACTGTTTTAAGAAAAATGTTTTTTTTTTTCAATAATAAATTTTTACAATAATTGTTTTCATATTTTTTTTTTTTAAATTTTCATTGTAATTTATAAAGTTTTAAATCTTTTAAAATTTTGTATTAATTTGTAGCTGTTAGGTGATATTGTTAAGTAAAAACTATATTTACTAATAAATTTAAAAGCTTACTACAATTCAGTGACCACCCCACAGTATTTATTTTTTTTTTGCGCATGTATAAAAATGACAGTTTTTGGCATTGTAGTCTGGATGTGTGTATTATCAGAAAATAAGAGTTAGTAACTATACTAAATGGGAGGAAAAATACTTCAGAATACGAATATGCATAAGTATTTAAAAAAGAAAACAAAAAAAAAAAAGAAAAGGGAACCTGTTTGAATCCTACTTTCAAAAAATACAGCAGACATAAAAAATCTTTTTAGCAATAATATTAATCTTGCAGAATTTATTCAATAAAAATAATGTAAAAACTAAAACAGAAAGAGCATTAAAAATAGTGAGGAAGGAATTCCAACTTGATTAATTAGAAACTTAAAAAAAAAAAAAAAAATCAACCAGTTTTCATTGCTCCATACTGAGCAGGAATAAGGTTTGACTGTGGGTTAGAATCAAATTATTGATTGGGCATAGATTTCATATGAAAACAGATTCAGGAAGACACTTGGTTTCTCTGTGGTATAAAGATGGAGAATTGGAAAATGGATAAAATTACAATCCAGTTACCAACTCTGCAAAAAAATATTGAATGTTAGTGTAAAGTAAAATAGTCTTAAATGTTTTTTTAAAACCAAAACAAACCTTAAATACTGGTTGTAGTAGATTCTTATAATTCATCTGTAGCCTTCAACATTATTCCTAAATATCATTTCAACTTTCAAGGCTTTATTTTTTTTCTCTAAATTGCCATAATTCTATTATTGCTTTCAGTTATTTTCTATTGCCATAGTAGGATATGACAACACAACTTTAATATATGAAATACAGACATTAAACTAGAATAGTCTGTGTTAGTTTTGCCCAATACTGCAAATTGTTACAAAACCAAAACATTAATCTAAGAACTATTGCTGTTCTTAAATAGCCTCGTCTGGTTGAGGTTTTCATATAGATGTCATGCATGGTGGCAAACATTCAGAAATATCATATGGATGTTGTGCATGGTGGCAAACATTCAGAAATATCATATGGATGTTGTGCATGGTGGCAAACATTCAGAAATATCATATGGATGTTGTGCATGGTGGCAAACATTCAGAAATATCATATGGATGTTGTGCATGGTGGCAAACATTCAAAAATACCTAAACTGTCAGCTGTACACAATAATGTTCTCAGATCAATGGTTAAAATTGGTTTTGATGCCTATTGGTCTTAACAAGGATCATAATTCTTTGAACCTTGTGGATTAGTGCTATATAATGACAAAGAATTGTACAAATAACAGAAATCACATCACCTGAGGACTTTCACCAGCAGTAATAACTAAAATGGATATCACATTTAGCTCATAGAGAAAATGACATAATAATCATGTTGACATTCCACTCTACTTCAAAAGGTTAGGGTGGAGACCCCTATCAATACTGAAAAGAGTGATAACAGCTACTAAACTTGAGAAACCCATTTTCTTAGGAATTTGCTTAAATAAAAAATTTTTTTTTATGAATTTCAACTGAAAGTTTACACTGGCTGCTCGACCAATGGCTGGGGAATGTTTCTCTATGAAGAAACAGCTTGTGGCAAGACAAATTTTTAATCAGTGAATGAAGTCATTTATAATGTTAAAAGGTGAAGACCTGATCACCAGATGTAACAAGAATTGTTATGCCATATTTACTTTAATATTATAATTAATTTATTTGAAAAAGATATTTTAATGGGCAATGCCAAGTTACCATACAGTAAAGGTAAACAATATAAGGTTACACAAATCATTGCTACACTATTGGATGATTTTCATTCATATGTTCCAAAATTTTCCTTAGGCAGATTTTATTGAATACACTGAATTAATAATGATTCAGAATTAATGTTTTTGAGGCAAATAACCAAACCTACAAAAAAAAAAAAAAAAAAAGACAATTTCCCCATCATATCAATAAAAAAAAAACTTATTGATTTTATTGTCTAGAGCAAAATAATGCAAAAGGTCTTGTATAGAATATTAAAAAGCAAATTCCAGATAGAGAAATGTTACAGATTTTGTACTCACAATACAATAAGTCATCTGATTATAATAATTGGGATGGCTACTGGTTGGAGTTACACTAGCAACTAAAATCCCTGTTGTTACTCAAAAGTAAAAGACAATGAAGTGGAATATTTATGAAAGATAAAATACAAAAGAGGGGAGTGTCCAAAAATATGTTTGCTAACATTTGACTTCTTCCAAACAAAGAGGAGATTAATCATTAAGTCAGACAAGAAAGTTCACTTACTAAGAAGCACTTAATTCTAGCAGTTAGTTGCAAATATATATATATATATATATATATATATATATACACACACACACACACACACACACACACATATAGTGTGTGTGAGAAACTAACAGCTGGCTCATCCCATACAATTAAGAAATTACAATTATACTCAAATATATAGTGCAGCATTCAGAAATAAATAAAAATACAACAAAACTATAAGTCATGTTTGGAAAAAAAATTAAAAAAAATTACTCCACAAGAATTTAGAAATCAATATAGAAAAAAATTAAAATTTTGTTAAAATTTTAAAATATTGAAAACCATGTTTGGTAATATTATTGGTTTATAAGAAAACATTTGGCATTCATTAACTATGCAACCAGTACCACTGTTGGTGGAAATTTTATCTTAAAACAATTTTTCAGGAAAATAAGTTCCTCAAGTCCAGTAGCTTTTATTGCCATTTCTCCTATTGACAGGGGTTTTTAATCTGACCATAAATGTTCCTCAGCAGATGCACAACCAAGATGTTGTATAAATTGTCATAGAAAGGCTTTCTAAAGACTTGTGATAAGAAACAAATAAAGAGTATATTAATGGTAATATCAGCCGTTTCCCTATAAGGAAACATTAGTATTCATACATATTCATTGACTGAGCTGGCAGTACTATTTTTAAAAAACAGGTTTCCCAAGTCCAGTAGCTTTTATTGCTCTTTCCAGTATTGATGGGGGTTTCCTTCCTAACCTTTTATTTGAAGTTGTGTGTAATATCAACATCTTGATTATGTCATTATTTTCTCTTTGAGTTACATCTGCAATCCATTTTAGCTGTTGCTGTTTTTGCTGAACGTCCTCAAGTGTCAAGGTTTTTGTTATTTGGCACAGTAACTAAAAGAAAGTGGTTGGCTGAAGATATGTGTTTCAGCCATAAAACAAGTAGTGAAGGGTTTTTTGAGTTCACAGTTTATAAATGTACGATATATTAGGTAATGTTGAAAATACGTGAAATTACGTGTGTGTGTGTGTGTTGGGTTGCGTCAGATGTGGAGTGTTTACCATGGCTTGTTTTACAAAGTGAGGCCGCTACAAGCACTGGTTTTTGTAATCTTTTTACCAGAAGGGGTAAGATATACAGATATGACACCTTACTTAAGGCCTGACTTCTCTCCCTTCTCATCATTTTTTTTTTTTTTTTTTTTTTTGAGAGGGACTTTATGAGAACAGAGTTGTTCCAAGGGTTCTCTTCTTCTCTCATTATTAATTGACTCCTGACTTGCAAGACCAGGCAGTGTTTCGCAACACTTACTGTACCAAACCGGCTTCTGATTTACCCTTTGAGTCAAAAGGAATTTTCAACAATATTTAAGGGAAGATCAATAAGTTTTCAGCCTGACGCATAGTTTATTAGAGGAATTGCAGAAGAAAATTTTAAAATTCAAAATGTATAGAAATGTTTAAAAAAAAAATAAAGAGAAAAGAAATGTTTTAGCATATGAAAGAAAGTTTTCAACCATTGTTTAGTTTGTATGGATTATATCTTTATCCCAAAGAGAGAAATAGATTTTTCTTCAAGATAAAAAAAAAATCAGTTGGCTAATATATATATATATATATATATATATATATATATATATAAAGTTTAGGCACATTTTATGTAAACTCTTAATATGAGAAATATATCAGAAGCCACCAATTGTTTGTGATGTTTTTTTTTTTTTTTTTTTAGAGTTGCATTCTAATGGTTCTAGCTTTGTTTATGAGAAAATATAAGCAATTTCTTTTTAATAAGTCAACTGACTTCAAAAGGAACTATTCTAAACTGAATTTCATGCAGAAGGGTAAAGTGTCAATAACAAAAAATTTTTTCACTATTTATATGTAGACAATTGTCCTCATTTTTACATTATCACATTCTGGTCTGATGAATGCTGGAAAGTACAACGGCCGAAACATTGTGATAACATCAACAAAGATGACAATATTCAACATAGTGTAAATAATAACCCCTCATCACAGAATGACAGACAGAAATAATAATAATAATAATAAGTCTTCTAACAAAGTCTCTAAAAAGAAAAGTTTGGTGCTAACTTACTTTTCCAGAATCTTCATCACTCTTTTTTGCTACCATCTGCGTAATAATGGTGTTATTAGCAGGAGGAGGCAGCTCTTCATCAAACTCCATTTCATCTGACCACTGCAATGCTGGTTCAGTTGCCTCATCGCTGACAGTGGGATATAGTGGTGCCTACAAAGATAAATCATAACTAGAGTCATGTTGCAATAATTAGTTGAACAAAATA